CGCGTGCAGCCAGACGGCCTCCTTGAAGAACGCCTCCTGCATGGCGGCGCTGGCCTCGATGTCCATCTCCTTGGCCGCCACCACCTCGCCGTTGTACAGCACCTGCGCGCGGTACGGGGGCGGTACACGGGGCGGTACGGACAGGGCACGGGTCGACAGGGGGCTCAGCAGGGGGCGGCAGCAGGGGTGGAGCTGGGCTGGGCGCTCCGGCAGCCGCGCCGCCCACAGGCTGGGTGGGTGGCCAGCCGCACCCCTCCCAGCCCCAACACCCACCCATCCACCCACCCGCCGCCAGGCCCCCCACACCGCACCTTGTACACGTGAGCCGAGGCCCCCGCCCCTATCTCCTGAGGCTTCCCGTTGGGCCAGCGCATCACCTCGTACTCGCCAGGGTCCACCACCCACTCTCGCAGCCGCGGCGGCAGCGCCTCCACAGACAGTGCCGCGGCGCCTCGCTCGGAGGACCCCCGGCTGCTGGTGGCGCCAGCAGTGAGCGCCAGCGCGTCCTGAACCGCCACATGCTGCACCAGCTCCGGCAGCGCGGCGCCGCGGCCGGCCTGCGGGTCGAGCGCGTCGCCAGCTGGCGCCAGCTGCGCGCTGCTGCCGCTGGCGCTGGCGCTGGCGCCGTCGCCGCTGGCGACCTGCTGTGAGCGGGCGGCCGCCGCGGCCACCACTGGAGACATGGCGCCGCTGCTGAGGGCGGCGCTCAGGGCGGCGGTGCTCAAGCACAGGGGGTCGACGCCTGGCGCCAGCGGGGCGCGGTTGGCGGCGCCGGGGAAGGGCTGCGCGCCGGCCGAGCCGCGCCGCGGCGCGGACCCGGCCGGCCGCTCCATGCTGCTGCTGCCGCCGCTGCCGCCGCTCTGGCCGCTGCTGAAAGAGGGGCCGGGCGCGGCCCCCGGCGCCGCCGCCGCGGTGCTCACAAAGGGCGACGGCTTGGCCGCCTGCTGCTGTGGCGCCACCTGCACCGCGCGCGGCAGGAAGCCGCCCCGCTTGCCCTCCCCCGCCTCGCACGCCTCCGCCCCATCCTCCTGCGTGCTCACGCTGCCGCTCTTGTGGCTCTTGAGCGCGCCCGGCGCCGCAGCGACAGCGCCCGGCTGCCGCTGCCGCCGCCACCGCCGCCTCGCCAGCAGCCAGGCGGCCGCCGCCGTTGCCGCAACGCCCGCCGCGCAGCCCACTGCGATGCCGGCGATGGCGCCCGCCGACAGCCCGCCGCCGCCGCCCGAGCCGTCTTGCACGTACAGAGTGGTGGTGGGGTTGAGCACCCAGGCCGAGGGCTCTATCACCGCGTCTTTCAAGATGCCCACATGCATCCCCTGCGGCGCCAGCGTGGGCTGCCCATCCACAATATAGCCGGGCTTGAGCAGGAAGGCGGCGCACTGTGCTGCCGAGTCGCAGGCGGCGGCCAGGGTGCTCGGCGAGCCCTCCAGCACGCACTCCTGCGCCTGGGGCCTGCGGCAACAGAGGTATGACAGAGGTACAAGGCAGTATAGCAGAGGAGAGGTATAATGTTGCAGGGCCCACCGCACCGCGCCCGCCCGCCCGCCACCACCACCGCCAGTAGCAACAAACACCACCACCCACCTGGCGCCCCGCCCCCGCCCCCGCCCCTCACCTCAGGCTGCCCTCGCACTGGAAGCGCCCGCTGGCAAACAGCGAGCGGCCCGGGTGGCGCTGGTAGCCGGCCAGCTCGGGCCCCCACTCCACCAGCGGCGCCCCCACGCTGAACTCCACCCCCGCCCCCTTGCCCAGCAGCACGGGCGGGGAGCCGATGCTGGGCATGGCCAGCTCCTGAGACCGCAGCTCGCCTGCGCACGGCAGCGGCGGCGGCGGCGGAGGTTGGCCGCGCGGAGGCGGGCGGGCGGGCGGGCAGGCAGGGGGGCTGGCCTTGCGCCAGCGCTGCACGACGCCCCAGTCCCACACACCCTGCGCAAGCACCCCGCCCACCAATGGTAACCGTACTGCCTCCGGCCCGTACCGCCTCCGCCCCCTGCCGGGCGCCCGAGCGTGCAAAAACGAAGCCCCGTACCCCCAGCCGCCCCAGCCCGCTCACACTGCCCCCTGCCCAGTGCCACCTCCTCTCGGCTCAGGTCTGCGTCCTGGTAGCGGCAGCCGCCCTGGCGGTGGCAGTGGTTGACCACGTTGCAGCCGCCGCTGAAGTTGGCGGCGCCCGCGCCGCGCCGGTGGCACTCCCGCGCGCACTCCTCCGCCGTCGCCACGCCGTCCACCACCCCCACCACCGCCCCGCCCATGACCGCGCCCCGAGCCACGATGGCGCCCTTCCAGGCAGTCAGGCCGACCGTGGCGTCGGCGTCGGCGCCCGCCTGCGCCGCCTCGGGCGCCACCACCACCTCGCCCTCGCCGGCCAGCAGCCAGAAGTTGGACTGCAGGTGGGGGAGGGGGTGGGAAGGAGGGAGGGGTGGCCCCGCGTTGGCATGCGGTGAGGACGGCTGGGGGGAGAGGGGCAGTGCATGGGGGAGGCCAGGCCTGGTTTTCCGCATCCACACCTCGCCTCGCCCACAGCCCCGGCGCCATGCTGCCGGCCGCTGGCGGCCCTGGGGTGCCCCGCTCCCCATCACCCCCGCCCTACCCCCCTACACACACCCATCCCCCCTGCCCCCCCACCTCCTGCGACTGCGCCTCCGCCACCAGCAGCGTGTATGTGGAGGGCGATATGAATCCATTGGCGGGCGACAGCCCCTGCGCCTTGAGCAGCGCGATGGCCTGCCCCGAGCAGCCGTCGGTGCCGTTCTGGTACACCGTGACGGCGCGGCACTCTGGCGAGCGGATGCAGGTGCTGGCGGCGGTGAGGGTGCCGCGGATGGCGCAGGCGCCCGGCAGCAGCGACTCCGGGCACTCATAGTCGCCGCCCAGGATGCCCTGTGCCGCCAGCGGCGTGAAGCCGCTCAGCGACATCGGCGCCTGGCGCACGGGGAAGCCTGCGGGAGGGGCGGCCCAGGAGGGTCAGGGGTCACACCAGGGATGATGCAAGCCTGCGGCACGTGTGCGCGCCTGGGCAGCGCCGCACGGGGCGGGGAGTAGCTGCCCGGCGGTGCCAACGGCGGCGCTCTGTGTGCCTGCGCCGGCGGCCCAGCCTGCCCCACCTGACATGATGTGGCTGTCGCTGCTGCTGGGCTGCACCACCGGCTGCAGGGAGCAGTTGGCGCGCAGCAGCAGGCAGGCCTGGAATGCCAGGCCCGCCCCGTCCGCTCCGCCCTCAGGGCAGCCGTCCTGCATCGCAGGCGGCGGCGGTGGCAGCATGGTGTGCCACGGCCCAGCACCCAGGCCAGGCTGGGCTGGCTGTCAAGCAATCGGCATGCTAAGTCACAGGGCTTTCACAGGGCTTTCACGGGGCTCACGTCGCTGTCACAAAAACGAAACCAGTCACAGTCGCCGCCGCCGGCGCGGCAGACGGCCGAGCACTCCTCAGGCCCGCCCTGGGTGGTGGGCGCCCCTAGGGGCTCCCCCTCCACGACAACGTTAGGGGCGATGACAGCCTGTCCTGCAGAGCCTGGCCCCTCGGCGCTGAAGAACACCGAAGTAGGGGGAAGCGCAGGGCGGTCTGTCGCCACCCCCTGGCCGCTCCATGCCAGCAGCAGGATCAGGGCTGCCAGCATGCCTCAAGGACTCAAGATCAGTTGCCCCATCTCCGAGACGGCCGTATTCTCGACACCGACATATAGGCGTCCTTCATCGGCTTCCCTGTCGTGCATTGCGCTGTGAAATAAGCTCCTGGCAAGCAGCAGATGGAGGTTTGGGCATGCCCCCGCGCGCTGTGCTAGGGGTTCCTGCTGCGCATCGCACGATTTTTTCAAGGGCGTCCACTGTTTTGCACAATGCAGCAAATGTGCAGATGGCAGAAATCAATCAGCGCCGCAGCGCAGGGGACGGGCAGCTCCTGCCGCCGCCGCGTGGTGCCCGGCGTCCCGCCGCCAACCACATGCCGCGCCGTGTGCAAGGATCACTTCTTCAGTCCCAATGCCTCCTGCACGCCTTCCTTCACCTTGGCCAGGCCGTGCTGGGTGCCGCCCTCAGCGGGCGCAATGCACGCGCAGCACACTTGCACCCCTGCACAGGGGCGCTTATCCGGCCCGCGCCTCTACCGCAGGCTGGCACCAGAGGCTGCTGCCGCCGCCGCTGCCCCTGCCCACCCCATTGCCTTCTCTAGGACACGCCCCAAGCAGCCAGCAAAGCGGCCCACCCAGATCTGTGGCTCCGCCAGCCTGCTGCGCCGGGTAGGCTGGGTCGTTGGAGGCGCCGTAGCCCACGCCATGCCCGCTCTCCGCGCCGTAGGGGTTGGTGGCGCCTGCGGTGGAGGCATGGGCTGGCAGTGAGCCACAGCAACATAGCAGGAATGGTAGACCCTTCAGCCCGCCAGGGGACAGTGTGAGGACCTTGACACCACCGTGCGCCCTAGCTAGGCTTGCCCACCCACCTGCCACCTTGGTGCCGCTGGCGAAGGTGTGCTGCTGAATTTCCTGGGCCTCCACCTGGTTGAGGTTGAGAGTGGGGGAGCCCTCTGCTGCGGACATCGCTGGCCTCTGCCTTGGAACACCAGGTAGGCAAGCTGGACAGGCAACAAGGCAACAGAAGCAGCACCTCCGCCTTTCCACCCCAACCCCCAAGCCACGTGGCCAAGAATGGGCCTCACGATTAGAGCAGGACGATCCAGCAGCCAGCGCTCAGGCGCTAGGCCATGCCGGTTGCGGTGGCAGGCTGCGGGGCGCACCTGCAAGACACGCCCCCGCCTGTGCGACACCGGCGCGGGCGAGTGCTCACGCGCAGGTGCCCCCTTGGCTCTCCCCCTCCGTGAGGCCGGCGCTGGCCTGCGTCTCATCTTTTCACTCCCTGCGTCTAGATGTGTTACAGAGGCAGCACCGAACAGGCAGACCGGAGCTGGGGGGAGGCCCCTAGAAGCCCGGCGGGCGCGACGCCTGCAGCCCGCCAAAGCCGGGCGGCAGCTGCGGCGGGGCGTGCACCGTGCCCACGGCCATGACGGCTGGGTCCGAGTAGGCGCCGCCAAACACGCCCGCCTGCTGCTGCTGCTGGGGTGGCTGCTGTGGCTGCACTTGGTGTGCCTGCAGCGCCTGGTGCTGCGCCTGGTGCTGGTGCGGGGCGGGTGCGCTGGCGCCCACCGCGCCGGCGCCCTGCAGCTGGCGCAGCAGAGCCAGGCCGGGGGCCAGGGAGGCTGCCGGCTGCTGGTGCTGCGGGAACATGGCGGCAATGGGGTTGTAGGGGCCGCCCGGAGAGGAGCCCAGCTGGGCGTGCGGTGGGCTGGCGCCCCCAAACAGACCACCGCTGCCGCCGCCATACGGGCTGCCAAAGCCGGGGGCTGGCACGCGTGGCTGCTGCTGCGGCGGCGGCGCCAGCTGGAATGCCTGCGCCTGGTGCAGCTGGTACTGCTGCTGCGGCGGCTGGTGCGGCTGGTGCAGCTGGTACTGCTGCGCCACCTGCTGGTGGTGCACCTGCTGCGGCACCAGCTGCGGCGCCTCCTGCAGCTGCCGCGCCTGCGCCTGCTGCGCCTGCGCCTGCTGGTGGTGCAGGCCTAGCTCAAAGCTGCTGGTGGCCACGCTGACGTTGGCGGTGGGGAAGAGGGACTTGAAGAAGGCGCCCGCATCCGCCTGCTGTGCCTGCTGCGCCTGCTGCGCCTGCTGCGGCTGAGCCCGCTGGTAGTGCTGGCTCGCCGGCGCCTGCTGCACGGCGGCCGCCTGGTGCTGGTGCTGCTGGTGGGGCAGCTGCGGCGCCTGCTGCGGGAACAGCGGCGGCGCCTGGCGCGCCTGGTGGGCCGCTAGCTCGCGCAGGAGGAGGCTGGCGGGGGGCCGCGCCTGGGCCGGCGCCTGCGCCTGCTCCTGCTCCTGGCGTGGCTGTGCCTGCGGCTGCACAGACGGGCCAAACCCGGGGGGCAGGGCCGGCGCCGCAGCCTGCGCCTGCGCCTCCTGCTGCTGCTGCTGCTCCTGCGCATCGGCCGCCTCCTCCGCCGCCTGCGCAAAGGCGAAGCGGCTGCGCTGGCGCCGCGCCGCGGGCAGCGCCCCGCCGCCGTTGCTGCTGCCGCCCACGGAGCCGGCGCTGGGGGCAGGGGAGGCGCTGCGCGCCTGCAGCACACAAGACAGCAGGGGGCAGCCAGGGCTGCTGGTCAGGCAATGCATGGGGGGGAAATGGGAGGCCACGGGCGCCGCTGGCACCGGTGCACGCCTGCTGA